AATAAGTGCTTAAACATACAGTAGTTAACATTGCAGGAAAGCAATATATTAGTACTTTATCAGGCTTAATATTTATCTGTAGATACCCCCATAGCTTTTTTTTATTCAAAAGAAGACCTTTACCTAAAGTATTCTTTAATGTTTAAATAAAGCCTTATTAGTTTGTCTGTCTGTGTCTCCTATTAATATCTATTAATACAAATAATACAATTCAATAATGTGCTTTAACCACTAGGTGTCCCTTTCTATCAGCTGTGCACCGTTATGGTGTAAATACANAGTCTTTAACTAACTATTGGTAGAGAATAACGAGTAATGAATATACTTTATAGGGATCCTATTAATATCTAATAATAAAAATAATGAAATTCAATAACATGCTTTAACCACCAGGTGTCCCTTTCTATCAGCTGTGCACCTTTATGGTGTAAATGTACAGCCGAATTAGTGTTGATCCTGCAAAGAGACGTATTGTGTGAAAAGAAATGTAAGATGTTGTTTAATTGCTGATATATTTATGATCCACGTCACGTTTTCTGTTTTGGCGGCAGTTCTTCCTGTTTGTCTAGAAGTCTTCTCATCAGGGCTCTATAAATAGAGAATTACGGCAGATATGTAATATTTAATGCAGCCGAACCGTGTATTACAATGCCGTTATGTGATGACTTTCAAAGAGAAAAGCAAGCACACTCGGAATAAAGTATTATTTTATTTTTTTTAAATGTTTTCGGATTTCACATCGCATAAACACCTTATCCCAACGTGCATTGCGGCTAAAACATCCAATCACGAGCTGAGGATCTTGCCTACGTCTGTTTCCGGTATTGTTTATGACGGATGTATTTTGTTACACACACACATTCCTTCACATTTTAATTTAAATTTACATTAAAGTATTTCGTGAGGCCTTTTAAAATGTTTTTAAATATAACTACGGTTCTAGTTGAAGAGTTTGTAAATTAACATGAACCGAAGCTGTTGCCTGGCAACGCAATCGCACAACGTCACATCCGTTAATTCCACAACCACACACATGGATTAACATCGATTTAATACATTAATGTAGCCTTTGTTTCTGCTAAAAGAGGTGTCGACCAGCTGGGGCAACAAGAAAATCGGCGTAATCGAGTGTGACTATTAAAAAATAAATCCTTATTATATTAATATTGACAATAACAACCGACCGCCGGGGTAGCATTTGATTGGCATTTCCGGGTACATCTCCACTGGTTGGGCCATGTTAACAATACCGTGTAACTGTCACTTTTGAAGGGACGAAATCGTGACATCTTCACGTCTCCCAGCATGGTAAATCGTCACATGTTCACGTCTTGCCGTGATACCGGGTTGGCATAGACTGTATAGAAGTGCTGCATACCATAACATGTGACCGGATGAATGTTAGCCACATCAAAAAAGATACAAGCAACCTAAAGAAATATTTTCAGTATTTAGCAACTGTGACATTTATCGTTAGCATTACTGTTTGGTAAGATAGTAACAGACCGTACAGAACTTGTTTATTTACTTTCAGAGGGTTAAGGAGAGTTCCAAATAAGTTTAAGTTTACTTTTTCAAGCTTTTGTATTACTTAGATATTTTGTAATTTGCATGTTATTTTAATGTATTGGTTTCAACAACTAATAGCACCCGTTGTTCTTATCAATGACTCACCTCCTGGAGTGTTTTTTCTGGAATATCCTCATGAAAACTGCCCGACTTCCCACTCAACCTTTGAGGAGCGGTGTTGCCTGGAGGTTTTACCCCAGTAGAAGCCATGCCTGGAGGATGGTAACCTGACTTCGGCATCTCCTGACGATATTTGTCAAATAGCAGGTTGGAGGAGCATAGCACCGGCGAGGATTTAGGTTGAGTACCAACCTTTGCATCTTTTTGAGCTGGTGGGCTGGAGTAAGAGGATATTCTTTGTGGGAGTGTAGAGCCTTCGATTGGGAATTCTGTCCCTTGCGGTTTAGCTTGAGGATTCTTTCGAACATAGGTGATTATTTTGGGTCTGACATTTTTAGGCTTCTGGGGAGGAGAAGACCTCCTGGGTTCAGGCTCTTTCTGCTGAGAAGAGACAGGTTTGGGGATGCAGCTGCTCAGACCTGTCTTACCTGGTGGTCTGACAGTTGGACCCAAACCTCTCTGAGGGGAGTCACTGCGCTCGAAGCTCAGAGACCTGATGCTCTGGACCTTTGCTGGAGACCCAGGCAGTCGTCTCTTGGGGGAACCAAAAGTTATTTTAGGGGAAGTAGGAGTTGCTGGTCGACTTGGGCTTCCCCATGGCTTCCTCCTCTCCAGACTTGAAGAACTGGAGGGTACTGTGTTCTCAAAAGAGCCCTGCTTGTTGAAGGTGTTTTCAAAGGATGGCTGCTTCTTTAAAGTAGTTTCAAACGATGGCTGTTTTTTGTAACTCCATTCAGGAGGGTATTGTTTTTTCAACGAGTTATCAAATGATCCTTGTTTCTTCATGGCTTTGGATTCAAAGGATGACTGATTCCCCTTTGTACCTGTTATTGACGGGCTGAATTTCACATCTGGGGCCTCGTCAGCTTGTGTGCTTTTATCCATTTTGATGTTGCTTTGTTTGTGTGCTGTTTTTGTTGTGGGTATACCCTTGTGCTCAGTACTTCTCCTTTTATCAAATTCTCCCTCGAGAATAGCATTGCCTGCTTTATTTATCTGGTTATTGTTCTTCCTGTGTTCATCAAATGCATCCTTACACATAAAAACTTCATTGCTGAGTTGTGCCTCTGATACCAAATCCTCAGATTGAACTGTTGAATTCAAATTCATGTCCACATCTATCCCGTGTATTGTGTTTTCTCCTGAGGGGAGGGGATGATGATCAGCTCTCTGAGAGACCTTGCCTCTCTCGGGGACATTGTCAGTTGTCAGAGTCAAGTCTTCTGAGATGGTTGAGTAAGGCCCAGAGGCAATGTGCCAGGAGTCTGTTGTCTGGGATCTGACAGTAGTGTCCATAGCAGTGTCCATGCTTGAAATGGTGGACAGACAGGACACAAAGACATCCGTTTCTGAACTTAACTCAGCCTTGGACAACTCTCTGCTCTCAGATTTCTGAGAGGCATTGGTGTCCTGCTCACCGGCTTCATGCAGAATAGTCTTTCTCTCTCCCCTGCTCTTGTTATCCGTCACATGGTCAGCTGAACCTTTGCTACGGGATGTATTCGGGTCTTGACGCCTTTTTCGCTCAGCAACCCCGACAAAGTCCTTGCCATCCTCCACCACGTAGGCCTCCAGCTCCTGACACTCCAGCATCTCGAACTCGGCCAGGTCGGGGTCGTCACACTGCGAGTCTGTACCCCAGATGATGACTTTGTCCTGCTGTACTGTTTCAGTCATAGTGCCAGATTCAGCCATAATCCGGCCATCTTCTGTCCGGATCTCATTGGCGTTGGCATCACCGTCAGTCTGCTGGTTGTTATTTCTCAACTCCCCCTCACGGAAGGGCTCTCCTGGACCGCTCATTTTGGAAACAACTCCGAGTTTAGAGCGCCACAAGAGCACTTTAAAAATCAATCATCCATGGCATCAGCAACAAAAACTCTGTCTGGCCATCAAAGAGTCTCAGTGGGAAAGCAGGGACCTCTTTCCAGTACACCAATAATCAGAATGTTGAATATCATGTCTAATTCGGAAGATGGATCTTCATGACATCTGTAGTCCTTATCCTGTATAAAGACAAAAAATCATATATTTAAATATCAACAAATTAAAGATGACTTGAACATTTTCAGGGTACAATACATGGGATTTCAATTGTATGCTCTCCTGCCATACAGTACCTGTTGATAGACAAGCTTAAGAAGATGATTTACAAAATGAAGCTCAACCCCAAAAAAACTTTTCTTTTCTGAATTCAAGCTTGCATACAAGGAAAATACAATAAATGTAGGTTTTTAAGAACAACACAAATGTATTCAAGAGACAAGAGAGGAGAAAACGCTGCAAGACGTGTGTCCTACTGTATATTCTGACATTCCAATTATACCTAATGTTTGCATTCTAACTGAGTTCCTCTGTTTAAATAATCATCTTTGAATAATCATCTTGCAGCAGCACTGGACTGCCTTCGAATGAGCAAGAAGTATTTGCCTTAGGAAAGGATTTGTTCCATAGCCGAAACAATTAATTTCCCTCGCAAAACTGTGAATAGTCTCAGGGCACAAGCAAGTTTTTTTATAGCACCACATTTACATTCTGCAGCAACTGTGATTTGGCCTGCTAGATTTCCCCTCTGCATCAGTCACTGCTTACGGTTGCCTTTGCTGCTTTAAAAAGCCTGTAAACACATAAATGTTACCAATCCCAGATCATGTTCTCAACAGGCGACAATGATACAACAACATGTCACTATTTGACATGAAAATAAGCATATTTTTGCAATTATTGCAGAGGAGCTGTGTTTGGGGGGGGCATTATGACAGCATGCTGTGCTGTGGGGCATTTACGTCTGTTTTCCAACATTAGGTATGAATGGGTATGGGTACACAAGTGTTGAGATGATATATCTGTAATACAACGTGGGATTGACTTTCACTATTGAGACCACCGCAGGGAACTTATTGAGTTGAAGACTATCAAATAAATGTAAGGTTTCGGTGCAGATGGCACCACAGTATGGCTGTTCATTACTGATTATTATAGCTGTATTTACTGTTTAACAACCCAACGATTGTGACCTGTCAGCAGATGTCTTCACTCTTCTCTATTTATATCAGATTAGGACTTAACTATTAATCAGAATAATCAATTTGTGGTACAATGCTTCATCTAAGCTGTTTACCTTCATGTCTTTTGCAAAAGCACATTATAAAGGATGTCTGCAATTTACCTATTTTACCTATAGTGGCTTTGCACTTGTAGAGTTCAGAGAGCTTCAACAGACACTCACAGGAACACGCTCAACTACTGTAGGTACCATGAAAACACTTTTTTTTCCACTTAAGAAGTATTTTGTCCAACCCGGTATCACAGCAAGATGTGAAAATGTCACGTTGGTCCACACTGGGAGACGTCAGGATTCGCGATTGGTATATTGCAGTGATACCGGGTTGCTATTTTAAGCAGTAGCTTAACAAAAACCTGCCTAAAACCAGCTCAAGGAGAAAACAAAGCATAACTTTGTTATCAGTTTGTTATTGTTCAACTCATCATCCAATAGGCATTTATCCTTGATTACTGCTCCACCTCATCTCTTCGATCACCATGTATGTCCTTTTACTGTTAATGCCTACAGAGCAGGAAATGTCTAATAGTTTCCAATGTGTGATAATAATTTAAAGTTCGCTGCATGTTTAGAGTAAGGAGGGGAAACTCCTTTGGTGACATAAATAATGATACTATGTTTTGTAATAGTGATGTAAAGAGGGCCCAAAGACATACGTGTTTTGTTTGCAGTACAGGCAAACACACTGCACTAAATGCTGTGTCAGCACCTGCACTGCAGACACCAATAAATCAGATTCCCTTACACCTACAGTAACTCTCCCCCACCTCCCTATCAGGTCTCTAACAATACTGTACAGTTACTGTGACTGCATTCTGTTCGCTAACAGGATTTCTTCGGCTGCAGCAGAGATTGCTTCTCCATCTCTTAAATTGATTTTCATCTCCAATTCAGTGCATTGCAGACAAGTGTACAGACCAAGTACTGTACATATGACACTCATTAGAACAGGGAGTGACATGTTGAATATGGCTAGGAAATAACATCAATGCTAACATTAACATCTAGATCTCATAAAACCTCTCTTGTTCATGTTTTTATTTTATCCTACTTGTCCTTTTGTGAATAGAGTTTGCATTGTATCTGTTAATTTTCTGCTTCACAGTCTCTAATTCTGGATGAATTAAAAGTATCACAGAGATAATTAAACTTTTTAATTCATTTCAACCTCTTTCTCTTCACTAATCTCAGAGGAGCTAGGAGTCTGGAGGAGACTGATGAAGAAAGAAAATGGTGCTGCTGGTTTCACTTGCTGAAAAAGTTATAATACTTGGAGTGACTGAAGTGACACTCTTCCCTTCCTTTATTACCCCATTTGCCTTACCCACCCAAACAGCACATACTGTAACACAGTGCACGTAGGCTCTTTCCTTCATTGGCCCTGTCGCTGCCACCCCTTTTTTTTTTCGTACCCCCTTTTACATTACATTCCCTGATTGCTTTCTTCTCATGGTTGCAACAGCCGACAATGATCCTGCGGTGACACTAAGGAGACTGAGGAAATGAATGCTCATAATGTCAACATGCTTCCCTAAGCATGTTTCCCCATCCCCCCATTGTTCAGCAACTCCCCCCGCCACCACCTGCCTCCTCCAGATATGCAGCATGATGGCGGGACTTTCATCGGGGCCTCTGATGAAATCTGTGCATTCTAGAGCGAGTGCTTGTGTGGGAGTGTGTGCGTGCTCAAACCACTTGTTTTTTTCAGGGAGACAGAATCTCTTTCGTTGTTAGCAGTCATACATCTGTAGCAGAGCAGAGATCAAGGCCTTCATTTGTCCATCAAGCTTCACTAAATGCTTAATCTGGAATCCTCATGAAATATTGAGGATGGATGAAGATGGAGGCACCGGTCCCCCTCTCTTTTTCACGCCTCAGTGGCCTTTACTTCTTTGTGTAACCAACAAAAGCTCACAGCTGATCTTCTGTGATTTAAGCAAATTGAGAAAGCAAGAGAAAGTGTGTGCCTCTACAATCTACAAGTGAAGACACAGAGGGTGAAGAGGCAACACACATGCCAGAAAAATGTTGATGTGACATGCACATGTAAAATAATTATGTTGTTGATATTTTAAATCAACACCTTACATTACGTTAAATTTGTATTATCACCAGCTATTGCCAAAAAAATGAAGGTTCCTGTGATTCATTGTCACACCTTACATTAAGTAACAACCGTGGTCAACCGTGGTCACTACACACATATGACATATGTCATTTACCTGTTCCTGATGCTCACACTGCCCTGTTCCTCATTTTACAGCTTCTAAAAATAAAGTGCATCAACAACACATGATCCCTAAACAGGAAGGAAAAACATAAGGCGTTGTTGCATTTAGGATAGACGCGGGAGAAAAAAAAGCATAGAGGTTAAAAAATATCAGAGGGGCTGACCCCACTGAACACACACACACCCACATATGAGGTGAGCCCACTTACAACGAGTCCCCCTTTCCAGCTCGAGTGCATGCAACAGCAAAGCTAATTTATCATGGCAACAAGACTTTTAAATTAAATCGGTAATAAAAACACCTCCAACAGCAGGACCATCCGCAGTCTCCCTCCAGCAGATGCAGCAGTGTCAATAAATCTACTTCTCAGTGGTGCGGATCTGAGGATGACAGGGAGGGAAAGCAGAACACACCCGGTGTGAAATGTAGATCTTACCGTTCAGTTTCAGGTAATCCTCTGGAGAACAGCTCGACAGTGAGGACGAGCAGAAGCGAGAGGGACGCATCCAGCTCTCGCTGTGATGAAGAGGAGACAGACTGCGCCGTCGCTGAAAACAGGGAGGAGAGGAGGCTCGACCATGGAGGGCTCGACACCCATACCAACACGGGCTCAGGTCTCCCCCTGTTGGTCAATTAGTGAATTACTCTCCATCAAATATTTAGAGCTACTTACAGTACACTGGCAGCAGTCGCAATGTTAGGGACGAGGATAAGGGCCAGATGAGACAAAAATGTTGGATGTGACCAAAAGTAAAACAAATGTAACCTAGATTTTTTTTCCCTAAAATGTTTGAAATCAGAACACAATTGTTTTCTTTACTCATGGTCAAATTCCAAAAATGTTTTCACCCTAATCCACTTCTGTAAAATACATTGACTTAAGTAGAAAAAAAAATTAACTTCCAGGTTTTTAAGTCTAGATGGATAATAGCTTCATTTGTTTTTATAATTCGAGGCGGGTTAATTATCCACAAAATATAGAGCATTTTATATTCTTAAATGTTGTAGTCAATCAAAAACAAAACAATTAAAGTCATTATTCATAAATAAAAATAACCAATCTGAACAGAACTGAAAGAGTGTGGAAAAAACATAGTACAATTTTCTATGTGAGGCAAACTATTATGTAACATGCTGTTGTTATGGGTGTGCACATCATTTTCACAAAAATCAAAGATACCGAGTCTGTGGCTCTAACCCCGAGCAGTATTTATTTACAGCAGCAACTATACAAACCGCAACCAATTAAAGACAACACATGCTGAACAGCTGACTTCACCACTCTGATACACTGTAAACACATTTATACCTTTTAATTTTCAAGCTTCACAATAGTTTTGAAACAGTGCAACATGCAAAAGTTTACATCCATTACAAACTAAGGCTGATGGTACAACCTATTGTCTGAATTTGTGCTTTCAATCTAACATGTTCAATCTATTTATAGTCAACAGCTGTTGGCACAGTTTGTCACCATTTTACTTTATAAAATGCTTTCAACGATAGATTGTAGAGGTTCAAGGAAAAACATGTAACATTGGCAGTAACTTTAAGCAAAATCCAAACAGTATTTACAAAAACAGACATTAACTGTTAGAAGGTAATGGTAATGAAGAAGGTAATGAAGGTAATGAACAATGTAATAAAAAACTGTATACTTGATAATATCCCAGTAATTCAAAATCTCCCAGTTTCAAAAAAGGCTAGTTGTGGATGGAAAACAGTAACTTTACTGCATCCTAATCGTATCTGTCAATGCTGCTTCAATATCTTAAAATCAACGTGAGACATAATAGTAATTATTTACAAAGCTATTTAGTACTTAAACTGGTAGACTATTTCAATGTCATTGATGAAAAATTGCAACATAGATGAATTGCAATATTGTTTTAACTCGTTATCCAAATAAATGTAACAGAATTTGGCTCATGGTTAAATCATCAGTTTCTCTCAAGGGAACATAAATAGCAAAACAAATCATAGTTTTCACTTTAAAAAAAGGACTCAATAAGAATACTGTTCACCTTGTTGCATTTTCAGTCCTTAGTAAACATACTTTAATGCTTTGTTTTCCGGTTTTAGCTGCCGTGGGAATCTGCACACACTTACAATCAGCTTTACTCTCCATAATCAATAAATAATGTCCGACTGTCAGAGACACTGTGGGTTAACAACTGATGGAGGAGCACTGTAACGTATGGTATGGTATAGTGTTTCTGATCATTATGGGAAACTCCTTCCCATTCTAATGTATGTTAACTAAAAATAGAAAACTAAGGTGACATTTCTCTTATATATTATAAATATACGCTTTTAAATAGAGTACATTATATACAAACATTATGCAATTCACACTAACTAGTAAAAGAGCAATATCATACCTCCTTAATAGTTTAAAATTCATTTGGGAAATAGGCACTTAAAATACATCGTCTGAAGTATCTGACAGATCACTTCACGTTAGCAGCTTTTCTTTCTTTGGCTGATTAAAAAAGTTCCTTGATGGAGCACACACTGGTGTATTTTTTTTCTGGTAAAAGTCTGACGAAACCATCTATCTGACATGGACGTATATTGATCACAAAAGTATTATACCAGGATATTCACAGCCCATTACGCATTATTTCTCACATTTTTCTGTACGGTTCATCCCAGTAACAGAGTTGTACTTGTTATACTCAAGAACAACACATACAAATGTGTACCTTTGAGGGAAACTAACAACACAAAAAAGCACTGAAGATACAGTAACATTCTCAGCTGAGTTTGAAAACGTTTTATCTAAATAAATGCAATCAATTAAAAAAAGGTGCGGAATAAGCGATTGTGGATATAAAAACTAATTTTCTCTGGTACAGAGGCACTGTGTATTTTAATGCAGCATGACAAGGGCCAAACATTTGAAAAGATATCCATCAAATAAATGAAAAAAAAAGTCAAGTTCAAGTATGCTTTTACAGAAGTAAAAGATAATAAGGGGCTTTTTTTCTGATTGACTGTGGATTAAGGAACCACAATTAGGGTTAAAAATAGATATATGTACAACAGGTGCATTACAAATCTACTTGTTCTCTGCTTTTTAACACATTTAATTGTGCAAAATATATAAAAATATAATTTTCTCTAAACTTAAATATTGTTCTTTTAGATGAATGGAGTCATATTTCATCTTTATTTCCAACTAGCCCTTTTACTTTTACTTTACTCAAAAATGTTGACAGAAACAAGGAAACAACTCAACCCTCTGACTGGAGGGAGGCATACAAGTCTCCATGCATTTCTAAATTAGGCAGCTATTTTAGAGAGTTCAACAGAACAGAAATATGTGGCTTAGTGAACCTCCTCTCTCCTCATGAATCTTCATCATCGTCTTCCATGTTGTTTGGTATTTCGTGTAGGAAGGCTTCCTTCTCCGGGGCCATGGGTGCTCCCTTTATTGAGCACGCTGGAGCGTAGGCGTGAGACCTGGCCATTGATGCCTCTACACTGTTGCGAATACCATAGCCGAAGTAGATAAAGAAACCTAAAAAAACATTGTGGCAGGGACATTAATTAATTGTTAAAGCAAAAACAGCAGAGATAATATTTCAGATTGTTAGCAAAATATCCAAATTACCTAAGACCATCCAGATGGCAAAGCGCATCCAGGTTCCTCTGCCGAGCTGCATCATCAGATAGACGTTGATGAACATACTCACGACTGGGAGAACGGGCAGCAGGGGAACCTGTGAAGAGAGAGTGTGTTTATTTAATGCAAATATTAAGAAAAAGATGGACTCAACGCATACAGTAATGGGTGACATGGACTTTAAGACTATTGTCTGGATGTGATGGTGCGGGGAAATCCCTGACAATCGGTTCTTAACAACACTGAAAACTAAGCAAACTAAAAGCAATTAGCTAAGACTTCAATAAAATAGTGCTTATGATACACATTTCCTAAAGAAACTAAAATAACAAACAACCCGATACCAAATATATTCTCTCAATGCTTGTTAAAACTTAGAACAAGAAGCTACAGCAATATGTTTTAGCATTGTTTTATACACATGTAGAAGACTCTTCCAACATCAGCATGGTTTATTTCTGTAAGCTGGATGGGCTCGGACAGTGATATAATAAAAGAAAGTTGCCTAAACTATTTCAAAAGCCTGCCATAAAAGCTAAAGTTAGTTTATGTTTTCTAGGTAGCCATTGGCTTTAATTCAAATCCAAAATGTTGAGTATTTGCATAAAATGACATATCCAATTTCCCCTCTCAGCAAGTTAATTTGAATCCTGAATCAAAGTAAATAAATCACAATCAATTCAAGAAGTACACGTAATTCACATTGTTTGCATAAACATAAGAAGTCGTTTAGCAGGTTAAGAGCAACAGTAAAATCTAAAGGCAAACTCCTCCCCTTCCCACTGTTTGCTTGTTGTGGTTTGTTCTGTCTCTGTATTTCATTCTAAACAACAATAAAGCACACTGCTGTAAATGCTCATTATTGCAAATAGCAGAGTCATTTACATCAAGCTTATCACGTTTTGACAATGCCATCTTGTACGTGTGAGAAGAACTCTTTGGTGAAAGAACACACTTTACCTTAAAGGTGAGCTTGGTCTTGCTCTGCGGCTGTCTCCACACCACAACTGTGACGATGATACAGACCAACACTATGATGCAGAGCACAGACACTGACCAGGCAGCCAGCCCTCCATGAACAGCAACAATGCTGAAAACGAACACCAGAATACCTACAGGGAAGAATAAAACCATAAGTAGAGGTAATTGGTTTTGCAGTATTAGTATTAGTTTTCTCTGGGCTTTGTATTCATCTCACCTAGTACGCTGGTGCAGATGTTGACAGCGAACCCTGACGTGTTGGACGGCTCTGTGTTCGAAGGGTAGAGCACATTCCTGATGGTGAGGCGATCCTCTGCTTGTGCCAGTACGTCAATGCTCCCCTCGTTATAAGACTCAGACATATCAGGGTCATCCTGAGTGTTGGCCATCTCATAGGCGTTACTGGGCTGTTCAGGCTGGTACCTTCAGATGGAAAACACATGGTCAAAACCTGACTTAAAAACTAATGCTGTCAAAATTATCGCTTTAATGGCGGTAATTAATTTTTTGAATTAATTGCGTTAACATATTTAACACATTTAACGCATGCGCAGAATGGCCCGCCCCACACATCCCACCAGTGGCAACGCCAGGGTATGGCTGGGCTACAGTCATACCAAGAAATGGCTTAGCCCCACCTTGAAAAATGATGTTAAAGTAAGCAAAATAAAGTCTGCCAACTCGCGCGGAGTAAATTGCACAGACAGCAGAGTAAGATTGATTTCAGTAGCCACTTGTCTGGAAATACCGAAGACTAGAAACGGTTTTGAAAACTTTTGTCACGTAGTGATCGTCTTCTCAATAGAACATCTTTGATAATGTCTTCTGGCCAATCAGAATCAAGATAACGGCGTGGTGTTGTTGCAGGAAGTCCTGACGGAGAATACTTTTGCTGTAG